TGTGTGCCAATGCTACTGGTGATTGCAAAGTGAAGCCTTTATTAGTGTATCACTCTGAAACTCCCAGAGCGTTCAGGCAAAAGAATGTCCTCAAGGATAATTTGTGTGTGCTGTGGAGGGCAAACAGTAAGGCATGGTCACTAGGGAATTTTTCTATAACTGGTTACACCATGCATTTGCCCCCAATGTGAAAGATTACCTAACTGAAAAGAAATTAGAACTTAAGTGCCTCCTGGTGTTAGACAATGCCCCTGGTCATCCTACAGACGTGGCAGAGCGACTTTATGGGACATGAGCTTCATTAAGGTGAAGTTTTGCCTCCTAATACCACTCCTCTCCTGCAGCCCATGGACCAGCAGGTTATTTCCAACTTCAAGAAACTGTACACAAAAGCTCTGTTTGAAAGGTGCTTTGTAATGACCTCAGAAACTCAACTGACTCTAAGAGAGTTTTGGAGAGATCACTTTAATATCCTCAATTGTGTAAACCTTATAGGTAAGGCTTGGGAGGAAGTGACTAAGAGGACCTTGAACTCTGCTTGGAAGAAACTGTGGCCAGAATGTGTAGACAAAAGGGATTTTGAAGGGTTTGAGGCTAACCCTGAGAATCCTGTGCCAGTTGAGGAATCCATTGTGGCATTGGGAAAGTCCTTGGGGTTGGAGGTTAGTGGGGAGGATGTGGAAGAGTTGGTGGAGGAGGACAATGAAGAACTAACCACTGATGAGCTGATAGATCAACTTCAAGAGCAAGAGGCCAGACCTGGGGAAACTGGTTCAGAGGAGGGGAGAGAGAAATTGAAGAAGTTGCCTACTACAAAGATAAAGGAAATCTGTGCAAAGTGGCTTGAAGTGCAAACCTTCATGGATGAAAATCACCCTCACACAGCTATTGCAAGCCGTGTTGGCAACCTGTACACTGACAATGTTGTGAAACACTTTAGGGAAGTGATAAAGGAACGAGAGGTACAGGCCACTATGGACAGATATCTTGTGCGAAAGAAGTCCAGTGACTCTGAAGCTGGCCCTAGTGGCATTAAAAGAAGAAGGGAAGTAACCCCAGAAAAGGACTTGCTACCTCAAGTCCTAATGGAAGGGGATTCCCCTTCTAAACAGTAAGAAGATAATGCTCTCCCCTCCTCCCATCCCATCAATCATCACCAGATCTTCAATAAAAGTAAGTGTCATGTAAGTGTGCATGCCTTTTTCAGTTTGTGTGTATTAAAATTAATATTTCATGTGGTAAAAAAAAATTTTTTTCATACTTTTGGGTGTCTTGCACGGATTAATTTTATTTCCATTATTTCTTATGGGGAAAATTCATTCACATAACGATTATTTCGCATGACAATTACCCCTCTTGCACGGATTAAAATCGTTAACCGGGGGTCCACTGTATTTATAGATGGGGTTGTAAGAGAAGTAAATGCGAGGGTCTTGGCAAGAGGCGTGGAGTTAAAAGATAAAGAATCACACATAAAGTGGGAGTTGTCACAGTTGCTCTTTGCTGATGACACTGTGCTCTTGGGAGATTCTGAAGAGAAGTTGCAGAGATTGGTGGATGAATTTGGTAGGGTGTGCAAAAGAAGAAAATTAAAGGTGAATACAGGTAAGAGTAAGGTTATGAGGATAACAAAAAGATTAGGTGATGAAAGATTGGATATCAGATTGGAGGGAGAGAGTACGGAGGAGGTGTATGTATTCAGATATTTGGGAGTGGACGTGTCAGCGGATGGGTCTATGAAAGATGAGGTGAATCATAGAATTGACGAGGGGAAAAGGGTGAGTGGTGCACTTAGGAGTCTGTGGAGACAAAGAACTTCGTCCTTGGAGGCAAAGAGGAAAATGTATGAGAGTATAGTTTTACCAACACTCTTATATGGGTGTGAAGCATGGGTGATGAATGTTGCAGCGAGGAGAAGGCTGGAGGCAGTGGAGATGTCATGTCTGAGGGCAATGCATGGTGTGAATATAATGCAGAGAATTCGTAGTTTGGAAGTTAGGAGGAGGTGCGGGATTACCAGAACTGTTGTCCAGAGGGCTGAGGAAAGGTTGTTGAGGTGGTTCGGACATGTAGAGAGAATGGAGCGAAACAGAGTGACTTCAAGAGTGTATCAGTCTGTAGTGGAAGGAAGGCGGGTAGTGGGTCGCCTAGGAAAGGTTGGAGGGAGGGGGTAAAGGAGGTTTTGTGTGCGAGGGGCTTGGACTTCCAGCAGGCATGCGTGAGCATGTTTGATAGGAGTGAATGGAGACAAATGGTTTTTAATACTTGACGTGCTGTTGGAGTGTGAGCAAAGTAACATTTATGAAGGGGTTCAGGGAAACCGGCAGGCCGGACTTGAGTCCTGGAGATGGGAAGTACAGTGCCTGCACTCTGAAGGAGGGATGTTAATGTTGCAGTTTAAAAACTGTAGTGTAAAGCACCCTTCTGGCAAGACAGTGATGGAGTGAATGATGGTGAAAGTTTTTCTTTTTCGGGCCACCCTGCCTTGGTGGGAATCGGCCAGTGTGATAATAAAAATAAATAATAATAGAATACAGTTCAGGAAAACTTCATATTAAAGGACTCATTAATGGATTTTGGTAATTTTGGACAAATGTTGGAAGTATCAGACAAAATGGACAAAAGTCCATAATTCCTGATTTTGCATTCGGTTGTCTTCTGAAGTATATTGGATCAGGACTGATGACCTTGACACTTATCTGATACTGGCCAGAGAGGCAACATGAAGGACCTGTCTGTTTTCAGTGTTTCCTTAGCTGTAGGCTACGTACACCCCAGTTTACTGTTGGTACTCCCTTGCACATACTTGCCATTGGTGCCAGGAGGAAATGTGTGGTTCTCAGTGTTAAGCAGAAATTTAAATTAATAAAGAAGGTTGAGTCTGGCATCTTAGTGACATAGGTGTGTGAAGAATATGGTGGTAAGAAACAGTGTTTGATATTTGTAGAAACAGCTCCTTTGACTCAGAACAAAGATTATTCCAAGTCACCACTATTTATCACAGCAATTCACATTTCATGTCTCCATCACAAAAATGGTAAGCAAAAATGCTGTGAATTATATACATTACCATAAAATTTCTATACAGTACAGTACTATACTGTAGTAATACAGGTTACAATACTGATATTCTTAGTGTCCAATATTCTTCTGCATCAGTGGAATAGGTCTGTTAGTTCAGAACACAATTGGATGATAATGAAAAATTAATTGTATAATTTGGAAGTTCAGACAATCGGCAATATCGCACAACACCCCTTCCCAATTGGTCCATTAATGAGAGGGTTCATTGTAATACTCCATTCTAAAGAGAACAAATGACTTTAGAGTATCATCATTAGCTTGGCATCTCTTATTTTGAAAGTTCTAGTTATCCAGCTTATCATTTTCCTTGCATGGAAAATGGTGGCATGGATTGTGCCTTGTCATTACCCTGTATCTTCCCTTGTAATTTGTTTAACCCTTTGACTATCGCAACCCCCCAATCCTGAGGTGTCTCCTGGTGTCGCAAAATTTAAAAAAAAAAAAATATTTTTTTCTTATGAAATGATAGAGAATCTTTTCCCGATTGTAATGACACCAAAAAAACGAAATTTGATGGAAAACTGACGGAATTATGCTTTCGCGAAGTTAGCGACCTCGGCGCTGTTTACAAATCGGCGATTTCGCCCACTTTGAGCCCTATTTTCGGCTAATTCCATTGTTCCAGTCGCCTAGACTCATAGCTCTTTCTTTAGAACTCCATTTTTTCTATAGATTGAGTACAAGAAACTGCCTATTTACCAATTTCAACTACCTAATAATGTGGTCAGAAATTTGCAATTTGGCCAATTTCACGAAAACTAAAAAATATGACAATTTCAAAATAAGGTCCAGAATGAACAATGCAGACATTCCTGGCTCTAAAATAACATTTTCTTTGTTCATCAGTCATGTCTCCAGGCCCCTCTGATATTACTCTTGCTTTCTATTTTGAATTTTTATTCAAACAAAAAATAGAAGACTTACTATTATGCAGACTACTGCAATACTGTAATAATTGTATAAATAACATCAACCCATTCATGACTGCATATTAGAATGGCTAGTTGGACATCTATTGGACAATGGCATCATTTGTTTACTTTGAACATTGGCAAAAATCAAACATTTCCCCTACTTTGAGCTCCATTTCTAGGTTCTTTTTATAGTAAAATCAATCAAAATCACCTCTATTTCTATAATATGTTTTCCATTCTATCAATGAGACCAAGAAAACGAGAATACAACCATAAATACTATATGAAAATAGACCACAAAGTCGGCATTTTAATTAAAAAAAACGGTCGGAGTTTTTTTTTCTCATTATGCACTGCGTGCTCCAGGATTTTGTTTTTATATGGTGCACACTGACCACACAGACCCATTCTCTCACATGTGGGCCTACCAGCTTTCTCCTGCTTGATTTGAAGCCGCTAGAATTTATGAGTATATATACGTCAAACACGGTACCTCGTAAGACGTATATATACAGCCGCGACAGTCAAAGGGTTAACAGAGTGGTGATACTTTGTGGGGGTGAAGGCTTGTTGGCACATCTTATTTTTATGCTAAGAGGCACTAATATTATGTAGATAGTATTGCTCTGTAAATATTGCTCTTTTTGCTTAAATATAATTTAATTAAATTTTTTGTAAAATGGTGTTGGTCTTACATCATCTGGTCTGCATAAAATTGATCACATTTTAATGCTTCTTTTTTATTTATTTTCCTGACAAATCTTGGCTTCTAGGGCAGTTTAAAAATTTTTGTGTTTATCTACCCATAGAGAAAACAGGCAACTTTTACTCAGTCAAGATAAAGTCGTAACAGTGCCTATCTGGAGAGGCATCTAGAATGTTAGATGCGTTTTTGTCTTAGTTCCACATGCATTGGTGGAAAATGTTCAATGACTTGAGAAATTGTATTTCTGTCAGGTCTTCACATAACCATTCATAATATGTGTTTATCTTCATTTTCAGTATAAGCGCAGCAGCAGCAGCAGCAGCAGCAGTGAAAGCAGCAGTAGTAGTAGTAGTAACAGCAACAATATACGGGGTCCATTCAATGCAAACGCATTATCAAGATATGTGGAATTAGTTTTGGTTGCTGATAAAACAGAATACGAAAAACATGGCCATGAAGTGGCAAAACTTTATCATCGGTGCAAAGACATTGCTAACATAGTGAATGCCGTAAGTTAATGCTTAAATAAATTTTGATGGTTACTGTGGATTTTAATTTTTTTTTTAAATTCACTAATGTATTGGTGATTGAATATTTAATATAAGAGCATTGTATTATTTTCACACTTGTGACTTTGAAACTGCGCATAGGTAGTGTTTCCTTGTACAGTAATTATTTAATCAAACTAATATTCTTTTAGCTTCTTTGTAATACTGGAAAGTTAGATATTGATATGTATAATAACTAAAGAAATTACTCATAATATTTTAATATTAAGTACCATATATGTTGTAATCACTATGTGATTTGTAGGCATGATCTTTAAAATGTAACATTAACATCTTACGAAATGGATACATGTTTCTTTTTATAACTGTCTCCCACTGAGGTAGGGTGACCCAACAAAGAGGAAAACACTTTCACTGTCATTCACTTAATCACTGTCTTACCAGAAGTGTGCTAACATCACAAGTCAGATAACCTTCTGAACTGCAACATCCCCACCCCTCCTTCAGAGTGTAGGTACTGTACTTACCCATCCAGGATTCGAGTCTGACTAATGGTTTTCTCTGAATCCATATACAAATCCCAGGAAAGATTGGAAGGTATTGTTAAAGGTTTTGAGTAACAGGGGCTTGAGTACCTAGTAGGTGTGTGTGTGTGTGTGTGTGTGTGTGTGTGTGTGTGTGTGTGTGTGTGTGTGTGTGTGTGTGTGTGTGTGTGTGTGTGTGTGTGTGTGTGTGTTACATCGGAGTAGGGGAAAGTGGCTTTCATATCTTGATACTTTGAGTGTGAGCAAAGTAATGTTTATGAAAGGATTTAGTGAAACCAGTTAGGCAGACTGAACCCTGGAAGTGGGAAGTACATTGCCTGCACTCTCAAGGATGAATGTGGATGTTCCTTTTCATTTGGTCATTTGAGTTGCATTGCCTGTACACTTCTGGCAAGACAGCTATTGAATAAATGATGGTGAATTTACTTCTCTTTTGAGTCACCTTACCTTGGTAGTAAACAATCAAATGTGGCAAAAGAAAAAAAATTAGTACACAAGATATATTTTGTTTTATTGCAGTTGTACCACCCTCTCAACATTTTTATTGCACTTGTTGGTGTGGAAGTGTGGAAAGATGAAGACCAAGTGGAAATATCAACAGATGGAGACAAGACATTGACAAACTTTCTTAATTATAGAAAAGTGAGACTTATCAGAGATCATCCAAATGACAATGCTCAGTTGCTCACGTAAGTAAATTATACTGGAAATACAGTACGATATTAAATTTAAAATATTTTTTCCATCTTTAACCCTTTCTTTGTCGGTCCCATAATATTATGGCTTGCAAGCCAGTGTCGGTCCTGTAATAGTATGCCAAAATTCTAGTGGCTTCCAATCTTGCAGGAGAAATCTGGTAGGGTTACATATGAGAGAATGGGTCTGAATGGTCAGTATGTGTAGTATAAAAAATCCTGCAGCATGCAGTGCATAATGAGAAAAAAAAACTCTGTATTTTTCGTTTGAAACAGCGACTTTGCGGTGTATTGTCAAATGGTATTTATGGTTGTATTCTCATTTTCTTGGGTCTCATTTGATAGAATGGAAAATATATTACAGAACTAGAGGTGATTTTGAATGGATTAAAAGTACCTTGAAATTGAGCTCAAATAAGCAGAAATGTTGGATTTTTGCCAATATCAAGGGTAAACAAATCACATCATGCATCCAGTACACATCAACTGGTGGATCTAATGTGCTTTCACAAATGTGCTGATATTATTTATACTATTTTTACAATAATGCAGTAGTCTGCATAACAGTAAATTTTCTGTTTTTTTGTGTGAATAAAAATTCAAAATGGAAAGCAAGCATAATAGTATAAGAGGGGCCTGGAGCAGAGGCGTTGCTAGGGTTGGTGTCACCCGGGGCGGCATCTTTGGTGTCACCCCTATGAAATCCAAGGGCAGGGGGATGGGGGGGAGTAAACTCAGTTACATCACTACTGCATGACCAGTGACAAATGTTTAACAATGAGAATGTTTAAGGGCCATAAACTGAACAGGAGAATATTTCTCAACTTTATTAATGATAAAATAAATAATCGTAGTAATATTGAGGAAACATAAGCTCAGATATCACTTTGAGTACAGCTAACACATCCTACATTTATTATTCTTCAACAATGCCAAAAGAAAAAAAAACTTGAAAAATATTGCAATATCAGAGAAACACTAGTTCTGATCTGACCTTGAGTACAGGTAACATCTCAGTGAATCAGATCATACATTTCCTTGCCTTCAATCCTGCAAAATCATCTATCACCTCATCAAAATCAATGCTGTCAACTGACCCATTTTCTATGGATAACATTGCTATGTCAGAGATTCTGGATCGACTCATTGTGGACCGTAAATAGTTTTTAATCAGCTTCAACTTGGAGAAACTCCTTTCACAAGAAGCCACAGAAACACATATAGTAAGGAACAACCTCAGGCAGAGTGTCAGAGTTGGAAGAGATTCAATGAAATCCCATTCGACTATGAATGTTAGTACATCCAGTGTAGTCCAATGCTTAATTTTTTCAAGATCAACAGCAGCAGCTTGCAGATGCCTCCTTAGTCTTGGTATTTCAAGCATGAGCTCATTCTTGCATATTTCATTATAGAAGACTGAGAGTCTTGAAGCCATCACCTCCAATTCTTCTTCAGTAGCTTGTACAAGATTCTTTGTTTGAATGACCACAAACATGGCTGCCACATCCTTGATTGCTTTTGATCGTATCTCGAGTTCATTATGAAAACGATCAATGCACTCCAACATCGCCCTCTTGTTTTCTTCCTGTAGAGTGAGTCCGGAATCCCTTGCCTGCTCCCCTGCCATCCTTTTCTTTAACCTGATTCTTCTCTCTGTTGTAAATCCATACTTCTCACATTTCAAAAGTGCCTGTTGTATTGAATTTTCCACTATGCAATCTCGCCCTTCATTCAAAAATAATCGCAGTGCCTCTAGCTTCACCAACACTTTGTCAAGAGTTAAATCCTTAGTCTGCAAGTACTGCTGTGCAAGCTGAACCTCCCGAAGTATGTCACACCAGAAATACAGATAACACAGAAATGTGAAATCGCACACAGCAGGGAGAAGACCTTGTGCTGCTTCTCTTGTATCCAAATTTTCCTGTGGATCGCAAAGAGCTTCAATCACTGCCACAAATTTCTCGAAAGATTCCGCTACTGGTTTCACTGCATTGTAATGAGAACTCCATCTTGTTGTTGATAATCTTTTCAAAGAGATTGCAGTATGGTCCATTAATACATTCCATCGATGGGTGGAGGAGGCAAAGAATGTATACGCTGACTCAAGACTGCCAAAAAATTTTACACATGATGAATTCTTGGCAAAAGAATGCTGACCACGCAAGTTCAATGAATGGTCCACACAACCACTGAAAATTGCCTTCTTGTTCTTTTCTTTAAGAATGGCTTGTACACCACCATGGACCCTTGCCATAGTGGCAGCATTATCATATCCTTGAGTACGGCACAGCATGAAGTCCAGTCCATCACTTTCCAGCTTTTTCAGGATATCAGAACTGATATCAGCAGCTTTTTTGCCCTTCAAAGGAAAAAAAAACAAGAAAAACTTCCTTCACTTGAGCTCTTCCATCCTCCATTTGCACGTACCTAATAACTTCTGACATTTGGTCAGTGTGTGTCACATCTGGTGTACTGTCAAACATAACGCTGTAATATACAGCTCTTGATATCAGTAACAAGTTTCTCTTTGACTCGATTTGCCAGAACACTTAAAAACTCATTTTGAGTTGATGGTGAGAGATACGAAACTGATGACCTGTGTTAACTTGAGCTGCACTTCAGTCTCATTAGGTGCTCTTTTAGCACAGGATCATACTAGCTATTAATTCAACCATCTCAAGAAAGTTTCCTCTATTTGATGAGAATTCATCCTCCCTGTGGCCGCGAAATGCTAAGTTCTGTTTAGCCAGAAACAGTGTAATGTCGAGCAACCTGTACAATATTTCCTTCCACCTTTTCTTCTGGATTTCCATTGAAACAATTATTTCTGCATCTATGGTTTTGCTCACCTTTAAACCGGTTGCCATGGTTTTCCAATTCTCGAGGCAACGTAGGTGTTCATCAGAAGTTTCGTGATTGTGTACTTTTGGGTTTAGCTTCCACCATATTTGAAACCCAGTCACAAACTTTGATGTTATATTTGTAACACTAGAGGTAAACTATCTACAGCAGTAACAGTATAATTTCCCACTGACTGGCAAGTATACCATCCATGATCGCAAAACTTTCTCACAATTCTGCATCTGTTTGTAGAACCATTCTTTAGAAAGCTGACGCTCATCGCCTTTTGCATTTTTTTCTCTTTGTAACACGAAAAGGGCCATCCTTGTTCTGATAAACATAATTACCTCTTTTGATGATTTCAATCCTGGAATGGTCTGGAACTGGAACTTTCCAAGAAAAAACGTCACATATCGATGCTAACTCTTGCAGACTCTCATTCCCTTCATTCCTCTCACTTATATTACCATTGTCGGAGTCAGAATCGACATCAGTGTTGTCAGTAAGATCATGACTAAAATCATTTGATGAACTCAGGCCATTGTCGGGTTTCTTGAGATACTGAACCATAGACCCAGCCATTTTTCGCATTAGCTGAGCTTTTTCATTTTTTGCCTTCCTTTGTTGACATCCACGAGGCCTCTTTGATTTATGCACTCCATGAGGCATGCTATTATATCAATGATCTGAGAAAAGAATGCCAGGTTCACCGTTTTGGTTCTACTGAATACAGTGGACCCCCGCATAACCATCACCTCCGAATGCGACCAATTATGTAAGTGCGTTTGTACGTGTATGTTTGGGGGTCTGAAATAGACTAATCTACTTCACAATATTCCTTATGGGAACAAATTCGGTCAGTACTGGCACCTGAACATACTTCTGGATTGAAAAAATATCGTTAACCAGGGGTCCACTGTATTCGGTAATTTTTAATGGTGAAAAAGAAATAAATGGTGCCAATTCTATTATCCTACTGAAGATGAAAAGAAGTTAGGAAACAAAATAAGTGGGTTAAGTTCAGATAAAATTAAGACTAACTATTAATAACTGTTGTTTCATGATTGCATTAATTTTTTCAATAGAACCTAATTTGAATATTTAACTAAGACTCTAACCAGAATGAGAGCAAAGCAGAAAAAATTAAGCCTACTTTCCAATGAATTGGAAAAAATAATCATAATGGTCATTATGGATGTAATACTAATGTGTACCATATTATTTGGTAAGCCTCCTGGCCCTATAGGCTTTACTCCACAAGGATTGGTAACAACAATGCATGGTTAAAATGGATATCAATAAATAACAAAAAGGCACAATACCGTGGCTGGAGCAATACACAAATAACCCACACACAGGAGAGAGGAGCCATGACAACGTTTCTGTCCAACTTAGACCATTTACAAAGTCACACTAACAAAAAGCAGAGGAAGAGGCAGTATATATAGGCCAACAGACAGGGACAGGACAAGAGAGGTAGTAGGAAAGGAGGAAGAGAGGTAGTCGTAGAGGTAGTAGTAGTATAATGGAGCGAGTCAAATACTAAGAAAGAGGAGCACTGCAAGGGAGCTAGGGGCCCACAAGGAAGATAGGGGCCCACAAGGGAGCTAGGGGCCCACAAAAGGTAGGAACAAAAACACAGAGGGAGTGGGGGAAATAATAATAATGGACCAAATACCCAATGCAGAAGAAAGAAACCCCAAAGGAGAAAGAGGAAGGGAGAATGGGGAAAAAAGAATCAGATTAAGTCACAGGTGTTCTGAAGTTTGGAGCATTTTTCAATGTAATGGGAGAGGAAGGCATCTACAGAGACAAAGCCAGGACTAAGATTCATACAAAGAAAGGTAGGTAAGACACATAGGCAACAGATAGTTCCAGACTATGGAACAGAACATCTCCAGGCTGAGGCCCCTCAAGGAAGGTTCCTTGATGTTGGTGAGGGGCTCTTGATTTAGGGAATTGGATCTGTGCTCCAGTTCCCCGAATTAAGCCTGAATGCCTTCCACCCCCCCCCCCCAGGTGCTGTATAATCCTCCAGGTTTAGTGCTTCCCCCTTGATTATAATAATAATCCAGGCTGAGGGACTGACAACCTCAAATCTACAACTTCAAGGGTGATGGACTGATTACATCGTCTTCACATCTCTACTGCTC